AGAGATTATACTGTCACGAATTAAGTGCCTTAACATGAACATGCATTGAAATTACTGTTTTTGAACTTATATTATACTTGTAAATGAGCTTGGGGCGGAAGAGTCCTTGAGGACCTCTTGTCTTACTGAGATTTCTTTTTAGAGATCTCACCCCACGTTTGGGGCACATTTTCAGGTTCAGGTACCTCGGTGGTTGATACCTTGAGCGGCAGGAGGCCGGAGCTTAGTTGACTATTGCATGCTGATTATACTGCTATGATTGGATGCTGTTTATGTTTATTGTCTTTATAGTGTTATATGACTTGAGACTCTGTTGGGCTTTGTTGCCTTATTTGGTGAGCATAGAGGTTGTCCATGCCACATTGATTGACTATGTTTTATTTTAGAATTGAGTTGTATAATTGTATCAGGATTATGGTCCGGACTACGTGTTGTAGTTCCGTGATTTAGATACACACTTATTTATATTATGAGGTTATTCAGTGTAGTTAGTTGTTTATTTGCAATTACATACAGGCAATATTTTGAAAAATGATTAATTAATCAACTTGGCTAATAATACTGACATCATAATTGAAAAGAAAAAGTTAGTTTCGCATTTTAATTAAGCGCTGCTTAATACGATGATATGATAACAAATCGGGTATACACGGGGTGTTACACATCTAGGGGTGTGCAAAAAAAACAGGTTTAGTTGTCTTGCCCTTGATCTGACCCATAAATACCTATTTTTTTTGAATTGGATTTGAATATTGACCCACTTATATTTGGGTCAGTTTTAGACTTGACTTGTTCTAATAATTGACCCATTGACCCAGACCCATTTTGTAAAAAAAAAAAAAAAAATCACGGTAAGAAAACCAAAAATTCTCCCAATCTCTCTCATCAAATGGTCAAATGGTTCCAGAAGGACAACTTGCCTGAACAATTTTTATGATCGACACATACATAGGTTCCATGTCTAGATTATTGTGGGAAGTACAAGTTGGGTGGCACTGACATATGCATAAATATACTGCATTTTAAAAATGATACAAAAGAAAGAAAAGTCTTTGCTTCACTTCTTGATCAGATAGTTAACTTTGAAACTGATACAAAAATGGTTTTTCTTCCAGTAATAGGAGTCAAGAAAAACAAGAAAAAATAAATAATTAAAATAATTTATGGGATTTGAGTTGCTTGAGAAACTGATTAGATCAAAAATTGGCAAAACAAATAAATAATTAAATTACATGAGTTTAAAAATCAAATCAATAACTATAAAAAAAAAATAAAATCAAAAACAACTTTTGAAACCAATTCAAAAGTGGGTCAGGTCGAATTTGATCCAATTTTGAAACCAAGTCAGGTCAAATTGACCCAGTTCAGAACTAGTTCAAAAAAATTTAAATCGGGTCAGACCTGACTTGGATCAAATCAAATCGGGTCAGTTCAAAATACCTGATGTATAAAATCAAGTCGGGTTGGGTCAGCACAAAAAACTGACTCGACTTGCCCCATGCACAGCCCTACTGATATCAATATCTTTATGTGGAACTCAAATGCTAATTCTTTCTCTGTTAGATCATCATATGATTCTCCATCAGATTTATTATAAACTGAATGATCACCATATACTGATTATCATCGTAGATTAAATACTTATAATAAATTGAATTGTTATCGTAAGTTGGATAATCATCGTGAATTAAATTACCATCATAGATCGAATAATCATAATAAATTGGGTTATGAACATAGACTTCAAAGTTAGGAATGTTGATTTGCATCTCGATATCTTGAAAAATGGAATGATTTGCTAGTTATACTCCTCAATTTCGTCCCTAGTTTAGAATCCTCAAAGGATTGACGTCTTTCTCTTCATTATCAAATGTTCCCTTTGATTCTATTTCTTATTTGGATTGAGCGTCCAATTTTGTTCGTGTAAGTCGCTGCTCCAAATCTTGGATTTTCATGCTCTGCTCTTCCATAAGTTGTCGCTCCAAACCTTGGATTTTTTTGTCGTGCGTATGCACAAGTCGTTGCTTCAAATCTTGGATTTTCTTACTTAGTGTCGACACAAGTTTTCGGCCTAAAACTTGGATTTTATTTCCCAACGCTTGCACAAGCTGTCACGTCAAATCCTGGATCTGCCTTCAGAGCTTTTCATTTTCTATATCTCGTGGGTCTATCTGACGCAGTTGTTTATCTTTTTTAAGAACAAATCCACATCATTTACCTTTACAACTCCACCATCGACGACCTCCATGATTTTGTTCAGCCAATGGTGAAAGACAGCCTAGTGCTCTAATACCAAATGATGCTGAAGCGCATAGAAAAAGTGAATAAATAGAAAGTTACGATCTCATAAAAGAGTAACCCTTTGATTTTCAATTATAATTATCAAAATAACAAAATTCAACTTCTTATAATAAGGGTTTTAAGCACCATTTTTTAGACTAATTAGAAATCAATTCAAAATCCTAGATATAAATATACCGATAATTATCTTCTAAAAATAAATAAATAATTACAATTAAATCATTCAAAACACATCCCAAATCTTATATCTCAAATCATACCAAATTTAATGTTTTCGTTTTTTGGCCAATCAAATCACAATCACGTATGTTACTTCATTTGAACATGGATTTGATAGTAATTTGTTATATTTGAAATTGTTGTTTCTTTGAACATACGAGCCATACTTATTGGGCCATAATTATAGTTAACTCCAAACTTATTGAATCAATGTTGGACCATATGCAATGGGCCAACGGTAAGTGCATCAAAAATACATTTGAAAATCGATCACATTCTTAACAAACCAAAGGTTTACTAAACTATGACAGTTTGTTAATTTTGATACACTCTATCATTGATCATCTGAGCTATAGTAGTTTCATGAATCACAATTTCTAAATTGAATCAAACTTATTTTTTAGGTGAAATCATATCCTCCAGAAACATTAAAAATATTTAAATTAATCAACTCATATATTTTATTAAGAATGAGATAGCTTTGAGTTCCATATTGCACCAAAAGATATGTCGAAGCGGGAATTCTTTCATCAAGGTAAAATAATTTATTTTTTCTTTATGAATAACCATCTCATTCATTTATTTATTTATTGGATAAAAAATTAATTTTTAAAAATTTACTAATCATTTGCATGTTTAATTAAGGTAATAAAATTAAGTTTTCACCCTTCCTTATTCATAATCAGATTTATGAACCTAATCTAATTTTTCCAAAAACCAATTTTCAAAAATAAAGGTTTTCTAATTTTTCCTAAAATTAAATAATATCAGTGGTGATTCCATTCTTTAAAATTTTTAAATTTGACTTGTCATTTGGTCGCCATTTCAATTGTGACACCTATGTTTAAGTGAAATAGTGAAAAATAGAAAAAATAATAATAATATAGAGAATGTACAAAATATTGGTTTATTAGTTACACACTAGGTCATGGTATATTCCTCCTAGAAAAACATCAAATAGCGATTCGATTCCAAAAAATAAAATTGGTTTGGTGAACATCACATTATTATTAGAATTTAATTTAAATATAAAATTAATGTAGTTTTTTTTTTGACACTTTAGTATATTATTTAATAAATTTTACATGTTATCAAGTGTTTTAGAATGAAATATTATATAATGTCCAAAAGACCATAAAATTCTTCACCGGGAAGAAAATATCTTCAAAAAAGTTTTGCAATTCAACAATAGTTACTTATACTTTTTATGCAACCTCATCTCAAGCCACCTCCGTTAACAACAAACGGGAAGATTTAGCCATCTCACGCACTTGTTGGAAATATCTACAGTATTACAGTAGTACTGAAGACACGGTGCATCATTTATTCAATTTAAAAAATATAATATATATTTTTTACCATTTTACTCTTCCTTGTATGATTATTTTCTTCAAAACCGTCATCGTTTTCTACTTTTAGTAAAGGAATACATACTACAGTAGTACCAAAAATATGTTCCCACTTGTTGGGAACAGTTAGGGGGTCCCCCTAAAGCTGGTCATCCTCATTATGACTACCGGTGTTTTAAACACGAGATGATCAATTTCTCTTGATATTAAAATCTGTTTATACAAAATTTGACTTGAGCGTCAAAATTTCTTACACGTACACCCTCACCATATTCCATTAAAGACCATGGGAGAGCTACATCAAACCACCAACAAAAGAAGTTTCATTAATCATGGTTGACCTAAAATCATTCGGAAAGGATCATCAGGTTTATTAAATAATTTGGTAACACATTATTGAATAACATAAAAATAATTAAACTCTTATTATCATATTCTAGATCATAACAAATGAAGAATTTTTAAAATGAATTTGTCAATAAAACAATTAAATGAAAATATATACACCTCTTTATATCTAATTAATTAAAATTATAATATAATTTAAAGTAAATTAATAGTAAATAAAATAAGTATTTAATATTTCTAATGTTGTAGGAGATAATATTATCTCCTATACATACATAAAAATATGTTGAATCTATGTGAGATTATATGAAGAGAAGAGAGAAAAAGAAATTATGAATCCAATACACTATAATGTATGTGTAGAAAATAATTTATATATCCTACGGTATAAGAAACATAATACCCATAAAATAATATCAATATGGCTTAAAAATATATCTCAGCTAAAATTGGAGGAAATGGTGAGCCAGCCAAGTGTATTACAATGATTGGGTGATGCTGATATTTCTTTCTTTACTTTTTTTTTTTTTTAAATAGTGATGCTGATATTTCAACCTCTCTCATATCGATCATACAACGTCGTGGTATTCTGTGACCCCACAGAATCTTTTCCCAGCCAACAACAATGAAGAAATGGATTTGTAGATATAACGCTTAGATAAAAGGATAAGCCAAGACGCACGTGGACCGTCCGATATCAAATATCACGCGAACCAACGGTGGAACACAAACAATGCACAAGAACCACATGAATGGCTCCGAAAGGAAATACATATGAAATAATCCATGCATGCACACAAAACAAAACCACCACATTTTCATCTTCCGCCACTATCACCACCGCCACCACCCCTTTTCACCGTCACTGCCACTGCCTTACTCAACATGGCCACCGTTACCACACAGGCTTCTGCCGCCATTTTCCGGCCATGTGCTTCTAAATCGAGGTTCCTCACTGGCTCTTCTGGTAAACTCAACAGGGAAGTGGCTATTAAGCCAATGGGGTGGACTCCTCCAATCTCTTTCAAGGTTCAAGCCAAACAAGGAGAGTGGTTACCAGGCTTGGCATCCCCAGGTTACCTCAACGGCAGGTATATTATACATGTATTTATAATAACACAAACTTATTTTAGCTTTTATATACATATAAAATTATGTAGGGCTATGTGTTTTTATACGAAGAAAAAAAAGAAAAAAAAATATGAACTCCAGCAATATAAGAAATATTAATTCCAATAATAAATATAAGACTTACACTAAGCTTTTTTGTGAATAGTACAAATAATGGACATAAATCATATAGTGTGTGAAAGTTTCTTTTCCTATATATCTATGGGAAAGGATATTGTGACAACCAAGTTGTGTTACTACCAAGTGACTACCAATCAATCTTACCGTTAGATCGATTATATTGATCCAACGGTTATATTTATTTCTATCTTTGTATGGTCATGATTCCCCAAATTTAATACTTTATATTTATTTTCACCTTTGTATGGTTATGATTTCTCATATTTAATGATTTTACTTTAAATATGGGGAATCATGACCATACAAAGATGGAAATAAATATAATCGTTGGATCAACATAATCGATCTAACGATGAGATTAATTGGTAGTCACTTAGTAGTAACACAACTTGGTTGTCACAATATCTTTCCTTTATATCTATATAGGGAAAACATTTTCTTATGTTGCATGAGAATTCTCATGTTGTGATTCTTCGATTTGCGTGCAATTTTTTTTTTTTTTTTAATAAATGTTAGGTCCACCATTAGTTGAGTCACAACATGAGAATTGAACAATTATCATGCAACATAAGAAAATCAAACTACATCTATATAAGGCTTAATGTTTTTCCGGCACACATGGTAGAGGGTGAGACCCTAGAGGATAATAGAGAAAAAGAGAAAAAATGGAATCCCCCAATTTTCATGTACCCGGAAGTGTGCTCTGGGAGAAACAATATTCTCATTTATATATCCATTATTCAAACTGAAAATGAATGCATTTATTACAATTATTAACTGGTTAGCATATTTGTTTTATGCTGCTACATTAGTCTTCCCGGTGACAATGGGTTTGATCCCCTGGGGCTTGCTGAGGACCCAGAGAACTTGAGGTGGTATGTTCAAGCTGAGCTTGTCAATGGACGTTGGGCCATGTTGGGTGTTGCAGGGATGTTGCTTCCTGAGGTTTTTAGCAAAATTGGAATCATAAATGTCCCTAAATGGTATGATGCTGGGAAAGAAGAATACTTTGCATCATCCTCAACCCTCTTTGTGATTGAGTTCATTTTGTTCCATTATGTGGAAATCCGAAGATGGCAGGACATTAAGAACCCTGGTAGTGTAAACCAAGATCCCATCTTTAAGCAATACAGCTTGCCACCTAATGAGGTTGGATACCCTGGTGGCATTTTTAACCCCTTGAACTTTGCTCCAACTCTTGAAGCCAAAGAGAAGGAAATTGCCAATGGTAAGTGCCTTTATTTAATCTGGCTACAGCTACACTTCACCACAGTCCCTTCTTTTTAGGTGAAATTGTTTATCTAACCTTGTCTTGTTATAATGTATATAGGGAGATTGGCGATGTTGGCATTCTTGGGATTTATAGTTCAGCATAATGTGACAGGCAAAGGACCATTTGACAACCTCTTGCAGCACCTCTCGGATCCATGGCACAACACCATCGTCCAAACACTGAGTGGCAACTAAGTTTGTATCCAATTGAAAGCATGTGTCCTCCTCGTGTAATCCTCAGTGGATGAATTTTGAGAGAGATTTGGGCATGATTGTTAAGATCCATCTATTTTCATGTACAGAGGAACTAAGATGGTTTTATATTATTATTATTTATTTAGATTCAAGCCCATTTATTAGCAATTAAACAATGATACTTTAAAAAAAAAAAATCAAACTGCTAATACAACTTTTCCAAAGTAAGTAAAATTTACTTCCATTTTCTAAAAATTCAAATTTACAGCTTGGATCACTGAATGAAACTTCAAAACTCTACCAATGGTAAATCAGTCAGTCAAGATAACTGAAATATTTATATGTGGACAAACTGTAATCCTATAAGTATTGTACACTATAATATATACAGTTAACATATTTGGTGGCTAAAACCCACCTATATGAACTCCATTGACCATGGAGTCATTGACCTTATAGGTGGAGAAGAAGCTGAGTCTGGGTTTTGTGTGAGAAGCTCATCCACAAGTATTGGTCACATCATTTCGGTTAAAATACTTCTTCTCAATTGGAAAAAGCTTAGCATTGCTGGTGAAAGCAATGAGTTACTGCAAAATACATGCAATTAGCTAGAAAACTAGAGAGTTAAAAAAGTATAAAAATAAAACAATTGAATATTTACTTATCCCAGCCCCTTTTGACAAATTTAAGTTCACAATCTACCCTGGACTATGAACTAAATTGAATATAATAAAGGACATCTTACCCTATGGTAGCCATTCTCATTATACATTGCAATACCGCAAGGCCCAGAAGCAGAACTCCAGAACTGATATCCAGTCTCAAACAGTGGTCTAGGAGTATCAAAGCCATTATGAACTTGGTAAATCTCAGGGTTTGGTTTACTATTCATCTCTGGGTGATGCTTTACTTGCTCATTATCTGGTGGAGGAGGATATGCAAACTGCTCACAATGTTGTACATCTAAGCAAGCAGCTCCATTTAACTCATCCAATGCACCACCTCCCTGACACAATGTAGAGACTTGAGGTGATCTACTAACCTCAAGTTTATTGCTGCCAATATAACCAGAATAGCCTGGCAGTGAAACATCAGGGGAGCACTCAGCATCTCTATTGGGATTATATCTGTATGTTAGAAAATCTAGTCATTACTTAGATTACAAGGCTATTACATCAGTTTTGAGCAAAAAAAAGAAGTGCTAAATTATTAGTATAATGGAATTTATATTATTTAGAATGCATAGCTAATAGCTGGTTACAAATAGGTATAGTTTTCATGGAAATAATGAAACAGAACTTCTGTTAGAGCTAGAGTAGCACAAAGCTAAGCAAAATTGAGAACACAAAATGCATAATAGCAACCCACCGAAATGGCAGAAAATTTGGTTCACTGGGAAACATCAATTGATGATTGTCATTAGTCAAAAGCCAAGGAAGGTGTTGGGATTCTTGCACGTCAGACATCATCAGGGGTAAACTCATCCCTTCCTGTAACTATGAAGGAAAAAAAAAATTATCCAAATAAGATTTATCCTTGAGAAAAGGTAAAGAGATCTTGAGAGAGAGACAAAGAGAGTACAGCATTACTACCTGGCTTGCACATTCAAGTGAAATCATTTGGTGTTTTCTGATATTTTCCTGCAAATGGAAAGTATTTGTCAACATCAAGATACACCAATTCATAACTCTAGTATCTAGTAATAGCTAGGATCATCTGGGGCATGTAGACATGCTAAAATACCAACCTAATACTTCAGAAGTTATTTAATGAACTGGTACATCCGACGCTTGAACATGAAAGAATAATATGATTACTTGTCATGAAACAAAATCATACCTTCTGTAGATGCACTCGATTAATTGATTCTCTGAGTGAGTCTTCTATTTGCCTAATATGTTCTAAATTGTTGATCTTCTCTACATTAATCCAATAACTGAAAAAACATATGCCAATGTAACACTAGATTACTCCTCGATGGCAATTCAGAATTTCATCAACCCTAGTACTTGCATCTGAGTTTATCTGGGTTGAGTGTGTTGCAATTATGTTAACACTGGTATAGAGAAAAGTAGGGGTCGAAGTTGGGTCAAGAATAATGCACAGGAACTGTTCAAATGTACAAAGCAAATCCCTGTCCAACAGCTGATGGGACAGTTTAATGTTATACAACAGTGAAAATCTGGCCATTTGAGAAAAGTCAACTAAACTAGTCTATGAATTGAAAACCTTTTTTCCCAAGTTGTGACAAAAACTGATGGTTAGTCAAAATTCATTAATGATAAAATATATGACACAAAGGAGCAGATTTTTTGTGAACCATTACTTATAAAGCCCACAGTACATAATGCATGTAATCGCACAACTCTGTCCCATTTGTAAGACTAACCAATTTATAATATTTTAGTGATAGGTCTACTATTAGCAGAACATAAAACAAATTATCAATTGCACCAGCTTCATTTCACATAGAAAAAGCCAATTTTACACAAATAACTTTATTATTGTTATTATTATTTTCGACATAGCTAGAAAGACATTAGTGAACATAAAAGTGGAAAAAATATGCAATTTAAAATTCAAAAGATATAATTATTGTTTTCATAACGTTTTGATGCCAACTTGCCTTAATGCAACAAAGTTATTGGACCAAAAAGTGTAATATAAATTCCCCAACTCACAGTATGGAAATCTTAGGACATAGAGGAAACAACAATCTGATCCTGACAGATAAAACGATGATGCAGCAGGAATACATGAATTATGTAACCATCAAGCCTTAGTAGTATATCATATCTCTTTAACTCTTCTTAAGATGAAAATGATCATATAATCCGTTTAACAGATCATTTTATGGAGAGAACTCGTGTCAAATATACTCCAAAAACATCCTCATTGGCCATTGCCCATAACTAGCACCACCAAGCACACAAAAAACATCTTTCAAATAAAATTATATTCCATTTAGGCATGTTTTATGTGCCTGGGAAATGTTATAATATCATATGTTGTTTATGTGTGAATGAGGACATGTATTCAAGCTACGGCACAAAGGAATATGCCAAAATTTAAATGTATATGGAAAAAAATACATACATACAACATACATACATATACGTGTGTGTGTGTGAGTGTGTCACATTGAGGCATAAAAAATAACCTAATTATTACAAAGCACCAAACCTTAAAGACCAAGAACAAATGAATAAGAGTCAAATTTTATAACACAAGAGAGCAATAAAATAACACCAAAAAGAAAAGGCAATACTTTAACAACCAAAGGCTCCAAATGTGCACCTCAGTCTCTCATGTACTTCCGAAAGTTGAGCTTGTAGAATCCTCACTTTATGAGTTAATTCCTGTACAATAGCAATTCGGCACCAGATATTTCTGCTGTTTAACTATGAACTTAAGATTCGTAAATTATAATTAACCATGATGATGTTTATGAACATTGTACCTCCACTATTTGACTGCTGCAAGGTGAAAATAGGAAAATTCAGACCCTTTAAAAGTTCTTTTGAGAAGTTGACAATGTCAACAATCACAATAACTTACCTTGAACCCAAGAAATCTTGTACTTTTACATCATGATCCAACTTCTTGAAGGTTTTCTTCAGTGCCTATATTTTAAACAAAACCAGAATCTTAAGCATCACCTGAAGTTGAGATACAACATTATTCATTTGATGTAACAAAAGCAGTATATTTAAAAGGCATATAAGAGAAGAAAAGATTCATCTTACTTCAAGGTTTTCCAATTTCCTGATCAATTAAAATGAGAAACCCATTAGCTTTTTTGTCATCAACATACCAAAAATAAAAACCATAAAACTTGCAGAAGAAATTTTGGCAAACCTTTTGGCCCTTTCTTGTGGGTTAAGTTGAGCAAATTTTGCAATGACCTCCTCAAAAGTACTGAAATAACAACCAATATGCAGAAATTAAAAACCTGACATGGCTTTAATTTAAACTTATTTTAGAATTTTAAATATTTTAAAGATGAATTTTATATTCTCTCTTACAAATAAACAAGATTCAAGGAAGCCTCGTCTTCATTTAGGGCATACCTCGATGCACAAGGCTCCCTGATTTTGCAAGGGTAGGGTGAGAGTTGATTGTACCCGGCCTTATGGAAGAATATATATATATATATATATATATATATATATATATATATATATATATTCCAACTTCCAAGAGAGTTTAGGGCATGAAAGAAAAATAAGATTATGAATAGAACATCATGTTTAAAATTAAGGGTCTAAGGGTGTTCCAAAAACCAAACCAAACCAGGTCAACAACTAAACCATTGTTTTTTAAGAAAAACAAACGTACAATTCGATCCATTTCCATGGTTTGGGGGGGTTAAATCAAACTAAAAGAGAGTATACATATATTACACCGAAGATTGGATGAGCTGACTTGCTAATTTGCTTTTCTACTATTCAATTACTGCAATTGTTTCTGTTGTTATTTTAATTTACTGTTGCTACTGGACAAGACCTTTTGAAAATCTAAAGTAAAGTATTGACAGGGTACCAGCTGTACTAAAAACTTACCTCTGGTAGGGAACTGATCCAAACAGCGAATGGTGGTTTGTTTTGATTTTTTTAATTTGTGAACCACAGACTAGACCATTGGCACCCCTATTTACCATTATAAAACAAAAGTAATTTAACTTATGAATTCACACATTTGTAGTCTTTAGAGCCATGGAATTAAGAAGATAACAGGGTAGATTTGATGCCATGATCTAGGTATGACGTATTCTTATTTCTAACACAATACATGATCTAACAGCTAAATTCAATTCCGCTAAGCCTTAAGTGGAAGAATTCCAACATGGATGGACTGGCTGTGAATGTGATGCTACAAACCTTAACTGCCACAATTAAAACAATATACTTCCATGTTTTTGATTCCATGACAATTTAATTACGACATTCTTAGTCAAAATCACCTTATAAGAGAATGCGGCAACATATGGGCTCAAATCTGCAACATGTATATATTTATATAGAAGGTAGAATTAAGCAAGTCACATAAGCCTTTGCTCGCAAGCAGTGTATTTTCTTCATGAAATAGTACTTAAATAGAATCACACAATGGTGTCACGACTCATAAGAGATGCACAAAAACAAAATCTCATCATCCTTATATAAGATTATCTGCATGTTTCTTCAACATATTTTCAACACAAGAAACCATTAAAGCTAGCTGCAAGTTATATGCCAACCAAATGCCATTAAGGTTTCTGATCTATAGGTCTAAGGCATAAATGTTGAACACATTACAAACAATTTCCCTCTTAACAGGACACCTAATGACTTAATCATTATTATAACCTGCGCTGTCCTTGTAGCAATGTAGGCTTTCCTGTAGGAGAAAACATGAGAAGGGCAATATGAATATCACATAATATTGATAGCTCCTTTGCTTTCTTTAATATTCCACTTTTCCGCTTCGAATAAGTCACATGCCGGGTACTCGTGCTCTCTAATTTCTTGATCCTCAGTTTAACTCTTCCCATCCTGCATAAATAATTTAAAACTAAACATCTTAGGTACCATGTAAATCATCCCATTGTCCACAACAAAACAACATGATCAATTTAAGATAATTGTAGTGACTACTTTTGATACAATATATTAAGTATCAACTTAATTAAGTTTATAACTACACAATTATGAGTATCTCATATTGAAGCAAAGGATAACCATATGGGTAAACTTCAAAGCTTCTATTTCAAGCCCTAAACATATATAAAGCATATACAAGCTTCTACTTCAAAGCTTCTATTTCATCAGCTAGACACGTGAAAAAACATATAAAATTTAAACCTTGTAAACCAAGATAACAAATTTTAAAGAGAGAAAAAAAAAAGGAAATCCAAATTGGTGGACACCAAGATGCAAAAATTGAACCTTGTTGAGATACTGAAGACGTTGTCTTGAATGGCACCCAGTTTACAGCAACAAAAGAAGATTTGAAACACCGAAGCAGATCAAGGAGAGAAGAAGAAAACATTGGAAGAGGATATGATAAGAGTTAACTAGATTTTGAGGACGGTGGGTGTAGCTGTGATTTCGGCCTATAAAGTTTGGGGAACCAGCCAAGGTTAAAATTTTGTTTAAGATTCTGCAATGGACGGTGAGATTGTCGGAACCCAATTGTTTGCAACGTTTGCAGCAAACAGCTTCTTTACCATGAAAGCCTCTCTCTCTCTCTCTCTCTTCCATTACATTCAGCTTCTGTGTTGCCACGTTTTGTTCTGTGACTCCTAACAAAACCATTTTAAAAAAAAAATATTATATATTTATCATTATAAATTATATAACTTTGTATTATTTTTTAATAAAATTATGTTATTTTGTTGTGTTTTTGATATTTTTTATTTTTATAAAATTAAAAAAAATAAAGAAAAAAGAATGCAAAACTACATCAAAATAACATGATTTTATTAAAATTGACGTAAAGTTATATTATTTAAAATTAGGAAAACAATTTATTTGTCCCCCACGCCGTTCAATTTTTCGAAATTAGTCACTTTATTTTAAGAGAAAGAAAGATATAGAAAAAAAATTTATTTAAATTTTAAATTAAAAAAACACACATTTTCTCTTTTAATGATTTTTATTTTTCTGTGTCTATCTCTCTTCTAAAATGACATAATTTATATCATTTAAAATAACAAATACTAAATCCTTAAAATTATAAACAATTTTTCTTCTTTATATATAAACTTTGGGAAAAACACTTCTGCTACTACTGTGCAGATTCCCCCTCGTGTGACAGATTCAACATCATTTTCTATTTATTTATTTTTATTTTTTAAAAAAAAACATTGGGAACATTGAGTCAGTAGGAGAAGTGAAAACTTCATTTTATTTATTTATTAAGTCGGTCTAACATACCTCTATGAATGATCCTGGCTCCAGTTTAGAGGTAAACTTATATTAAGGTATAATATTTTTTTAAGGTGTTGCATTTGAATGAAATTAATTCCATTCATAATGTAAAATATAAAATAGCATAATATTTTTTATATGGTAGAAATTAAATTTTATTCTATATATATATAATATATAAAATATATGGGATTTAAATTTTATTTTTTCCTCTATTCTACTTACATGAGTCCCACATATTTATATATATGTACAGGAGATAATTTACAACATAAAAAATATTAATCCAAATATAGAATATAATATTTTGTGCAAAGCAAATAGCAATTTTTCTACCGATTTATTGATTAGGTATTAAATCGGTTTTAAGATTTATTGGACCGTATAGGATCTGTACTGGTATTCTGGTAAGACCATTTTTTTCATGTGAGACCTTTATTAATGACGAATGAGCTACTTACGATTTCAACATCTAAACAAAATAAGAGGGGGGATAATATTTCGTATTTTATTAATACTTTAACACTGATTTATATTTCTATTTTCATTTTATAAGAAACTATCAGACGATCTCGAGGAGCGGTAAGACGTTTAATAGTTAATTAACTATTAAATTTGTCTCAAAAGAGTCAAACATTGGTCACATTAATCTAGAACAATATAAAACTCATGGAAGCTGATATCAATCTACATAAGACCCATATGCCTAAAAAGTTCAATAAAAGACAGACACTTGACAGCTATACAAGATGACAACTAGACTTATGAAGAAATGAGTCCAGATTGTTCAAACCCTAAAGTAAACTCTATAAATAAAAGATAAAGACCACAAGTATAGACTAATATCTCTCTTACTATTATGTTGTCACTATACACGCACACCACTCCATTGGCTAAAGCCTTATAGTTGTGTATGGTGATTCACTATACCTAAGGTATCTAATTCATAGATACCTAGAGAGCACAAAATCTCATATTGATCTACTAGCCCTAGGCTAGACATCTCTATCACATCGACAGAACATTGACGCCGACTGTGGAAAACGAAAGAAATTTCAAATCCCTCGAAAATCATGGCACGCACTAACAGAAGTGGTTATCGACAGCCACCATTGCCAAATCTTGAGCCACGACAAAACCCTGTGATAATGTAAGTCGTAGCCAGGATGGAAGACTCGAAGACATAATGAATAGGACAACCCAAAATGAATAACTCGGCAAACTGGAAAGAAGAAGTAATATAGAGACCAGAAATGAACGACCTGATAGAAATGAAAGAAGAAGTCACTTGCAAGATGGAGGGAGAGGCAATATCCAAGGGGATGACATCGAAGCACATAGGAGAGCTGAGAATACTCGGCTATATGATGATCAACCTAGGAAACTAAGGAACCTGGATGATGTGACATGATTCTACAAAAGGAAGTATCACAGGGAGCAGTACAATGATAGCCCCTTTGTTGATGGAATTGTTGATGCACCATTTCTTGAGAATCTCAACTTATCGGAGTTGCCAAAGTATAATGGAAGTCAGGATCCCCAGGTCTATCTGGATACTTTTAATACAACCATGTGTATCAAAGGTATAGAAGAACCATTGATTATGCGGTTGTTTGCGACAACTCTGACGAGGACAGCTCAGATGTGGTTCTCTTCATTACCACCAGGATCTATTAGGTCTTTTGAAGAGTTTGGCGAGAGATTTTTGTTAAACTTCGCCACCAGTAAAAAATAGTCGAAGTCAAAATTTGCTCTGGGAAGATAAGGCAGCAACCCAGTGAATCTCTCCAAAAATACATGGACCGCTTTAAAGAAGCGGTGCTACAAGTCCCGGGATTGTTTGAAAACGTTCATGTGCACTTAGTGGTGGTTGGGTTGCATGTGTCTTCTAGACTGGCGAAATCCATTTACAAAGACCCAGTTAGGACATTGGTGGAATTTACAGCTCGATCAAAAAAGTACCTTGAGTTGGAAGAAATGGAGATAGAGAACTCTGATCAAAATAAAAGCCCGGGTAGAACAGAGAGGCCTGGAAATAAGAGGCAAGGTGACTTCCAGGATAAGAAACCTGAAGAAAGATTGCCACTAAGAGGAAGGTATGAAAAATAAGTTCCACTCAACTTGCCGCACTCCTAGATATGGAGGGAGGTAGCTCTAACCGAGATGAAAAAGGTAGAGAAACCTCAGTCTCTAATAAACAAGGGCGGCCTAGACCAAACAAAGTATTGTGTTTTCCACAATAGCCAAGGGCATACCATGGATGAATGTTGGGACTTGAAGGATGCAATTGAAAAGTATATTAGAGATGGAAAATTATGCTAATATCTAATCAAAACACAAGGATGGAGGAATAACAGAAAGAGAAAAGGTTGTAAATGGAGCCCGGTGATATGCATCCAGCATATGGGTATATCCAAGCCAAAAAGAGAAAGAATATTGGTTAATCTTGAGTAAAAAGGCAATATTTACTGTTGATTTGTTAAAATCTCAATCAGAGATTGTACAACTGATTTTATGCTGATTTCGTAGGAAAAATAGACAAACTGGAGCTCAATGGGAAAATACCAAACTGAAGGCCCACGCTGATAGCGTGGGTGTGGCACTGACAGCGTGGAGGAGTCTTTACATACAGATACATCCATGCTACTAGCGTGGAACTCACGCTAGTAGTGCCATAATTCAAAATCATCCCGAGACATCCACGCTACTAGCGAGGAACTCACGCTGGTAGCGCCATACTTTCCTGAAAGCCACGCTCACAGCGTGGGAACTGTAACATCCCGTTGTACACCGGTATTGTTAACATTAATTATGATATTAAGTGCAGTTACAATCACAACAATTCTTTTATAAAAATGCGAATAAACTTTTTCCGATTATCACGCGAACATTTGAAACATAAAAAGCGTAATAATTAAAAGCTGTGACTGTAACCGTAAACTCTTGCGGAAGACTTATTTAAACTATTTGTACAACTTACCTTACTTATTATAAGTTACTAAGGGGTTCCCATAAACCCACTTAGCCAATTTCCAAACTTTATGTTTTTACCTATTCGAACATGGTTCACTCCTAAATTTTCTGCGAACACACCGCTCGCAACCAAACATTCTTCTCAGATTATATCTTCCTAGGGTTATTTTTATCATCGGAGACCTTCTGCTCAATTTTTATCTTCCTAGGGTTGCGTGTTGGCTAATTACCGTTTTGTCCTTTCTTTGTATTTTGGCCTTATACTCAGGATTTTCACTAATCCTTCTCTTTAATTCTCATTTAATATTTTAAATATTATATTTTAGAAATGTGAGGTGTTATACTCATCCCAACTTTTAGAATTTTGTCCGCAAAATTAACTCATACTCATCCGCTAACTCAGGACACAGTCGGAGAATCTCATCCTCCCGCTCCCAAGTAGCATCCTCAAGTGTGTTTCTTTACCACATTACTTTTATCACAAGCATGATCTCCTTTTTATGATACTCATTATCCTTTGATCCTTCACAATTACTTGTCTCTCATGGTTCTGTGACCTTTTAATTCACAATACTTTACACTTTCTCTGGTTTCCCGTTACCCTTTCGCTGATTTGTAGGTAATAATATAACAATATTACGGATTTATTGGTATCAATTCACCTCATTCTCATCTCTATCTATCTTTCTGACCCATGGTCGTTCTCAAAAGCATCTAATCGTTTCCATACTAGGCTCTAACCGTTCTCATGCACCTTCACTAGTTATTCCTAGAGTATTTTCAACTCTCACATTCTTTAGTACTTAACTTTTTTCGCTGTCCTCACTGTTTCAACCAATACCATTTCCAAACATACCAGTCCTTTCCATTACTGTTACTACTCTTATCATTTCGTTGTTTTCTTGGCTTTCACCCAAGCACATACTTTCTAGTTTCAAAGGCACTTTGTCGTGTCCTACAATTTCGACTCACATTAAATTCTATAATCATATACATTATTTTTCCTCGTCACGTGTCTTCACCTCTTTTTAGGTACTCACAACTATATCTTTCTCTTTGTGATACGAAACTAACAATCCTCACCATAGTGTATGTTTCCGATTAACCATTTAAGGTTCTTTAACCACAAACACACTTCTGAATTTTTCCATCTACAAACTCATATTCATAATTTACGCTCATTGTTGCTCTCTTTATTAACTTAACCATCTCAACTTTATCAACTCAGTCAGCTCAACTCCATACTTAGACCTCTCACAGTCTAAACACAACACTCATCAATGACCATCACATCAGGGCATCATGCTTAATATTTTCACCCACTAACTACTTTTAACTTTTCATTCCATTCCGATGTTGCAATTTAACCATACGTTCCA